CTTCTGTAGTCTCTCACTAGCCTTGCAAATCATCGCAGCACCGGGTAGAGCTCCCTTTTATTTTTTGCCTCCTGGCATCAAGCCATTTCTATTCTGATGAGAAAAAGAGGATTATTTTTTGCTGGGATTAAAAAAAAAAAAAAAACCACCACAACATACCCTATACCTAAGATAACAAGCTGCACAAAATCCCCAAATCATTTCGGGCTCCTGTTCACAGTGCCCGTGGGGCTGCCCTCCACAAGGAGAGGGGGGTTTCTCCAGCCGGACCCTGGGATGCTTCCAGCCAACGATGCTTTTCAGGGATGGCCACTAACACCTGGTACAACCTGCACAGTGCCCACACGCCTCTGGCTAATTCTCAAAAGCTCTGTGACAAAAGGATGCTACTCTGGGGGGACACTTTGGAAAAGGGGCTCTTTCTTTTGCAGAGCAAACCAGCACCAGACCCTTTTCGGCTGCCACTGCCTCCTGCAAAAGCACCAAACGCAGCCCTCGTCTGGAGTCCCATTTCTTGGCACAGCAGGGAAAATAAGAGAGCACGTGCCAGCACGGGAGCAGGGAAATGCTCCTACTCCACTCCCAGACCCCCCAAACCAGGTACCATCGCAGCGCAGGGCACTGCCAGGCTCTGCTCCCATCTGCCCAGCAGCCTTAAAGCCAAAGCATGGGAAAGGCAAACCCCACACCTTTCCCCACTTTCCTAGTCCTCTGAAAAGTGACTTATCCTATCCCTAATCTCTTCTGCACCTCTTCAAGCAAAACCAACACCACAACCACACAGTTTCTTACAGCTCTTGACTCTCCTTAAAAATTTTTATGTTTTAAGTTGCTCGAACTAACAAAATTCATCATTAATGAGACAACTAAAGGCCTTGCCAGAAGTAAAGGGGGAGAGAAGCCCAAACTAGGGCTGTTCCCTTCCCAGGAGGGCAGCTCCAAGCCAGCAGCAAGACAAAAGGCATTTCCTAAAGTTCTCTTCCCGCTCCCTTGCTTTAGGCTTTTGCCCCGCCGCAATTCCCAGGCGGGAAAAGAGAACCAGGAACAGGGCAGGGATTAATGGAAACATGGGAAGGGTGAAGGGGCTCACAGCACAGACAACTGCAGCACCAGAGCCTTAAACAAGCAACAGCAAGTGAGGAACCGGACCTGGGAAACCCTGCAAACCAGAACCAGGTACCCGCAACTTGAAAAAACACCCATAAGGAACTCACCTTCTCGTCCTTGAACAGTCACAGCCTCTGCAGGGATAGATCCGTGTGTAGTCACCAAGAAGAAAACGGAGCCAATGCTGCTTCGCCTTTTATCACCCAAAAATCCAGGGGAATCACCCGCAAATGGGGAACTCGGATCACCTGGTGCCCCTCAGCAGATCGCCCCAAATGGGGAACTCGGATCACCTGGTGCCCCTCAGCAGGACGAAACCCTCCGGTGCCCCAGGCCGAGGGCAGGTGGGGCACGGGGGGGGCTCAGGTGTTGCTCATCCAGCATTTTCTCTCACAGTGTCCCGGGAGGGGTCCCAGCGCCCACAGCAGGCTGTCACAGCACCTCAGCTGGGTCTAGCGCTGGGTAAAGCCTTTCCTAGAGGTTTCCTTCCAGATGTGCACTTTCGAGAGGAAAAATCATTACGATCACAAGCGATCGAACTCCTGAGGGATGTGGGGATCTCTGCAAGGTCCCTGCTGCCCCACTGACCTGCTCATGGAAAGGAGGAAAGGCCTTGTGATGAACAGCCACAAGTGGAGCAGCCACGTGGGGCAAGGACAGACATTTCCATCCCAGGCGCATCGTTGTTTGTCCCAGCTCCTGGTGTTCTGAATCGTAGAAGTCACTACACCTGCCCACCCAAGGGCTCCTTCGTGGAGCGGGACTTTGGCTTTCTAAGTAAAAATAACTCGAGATCAAACTCCAGGGAGTAAAAACAAACAAAAACACACACAAACAAACAAACAAACAAAAAGGTAGAAGGGAAAGAGAATGGGCTGAAACAAAAGGAAAAAAACGCCAAGAAAAACGATTTGGAGAGCAATGAAAATCTAGGCATCAGCCATTAAGACTGGATGGGCCAAGCCCGGGTGAAAGCCTGAGGAGAGGTTAAGGACTGGGTCCTATCCTGTCCTCTCCACAGGAGTGATTGGAGCTGTGAACAGGCCAGGAGATTAGCAGGAGATAGGAATCATGCAAACGAGCCTGCGGCCACCAAAGCCATTATCGCCACTCAGCACAAAGTTTGGGAAGTTACACCCATCGTTGTTCTAACTAACAGTGCACTCAGGCGGCTCCATCCCAAATGCAGCCCCTCAACTCCCAAAAACCCTCTTAGGCAGCCAGGGGATGATGGGCAGGGAGAAATGCTAAAATACTTCGGGCCAGCCTGACATTTGGGGCCTCGGTGTGGTCTTTTCCAAGCCCGATAGAAGCCTATGCTGGAGTGGTGTCCCCTCATGTTAACCTGAAAACACGCAGCGGGGAACAGCCCCTCCTCTGCCATTGGGGTGGGTTGGAGGGTCACAGGTGTGGACACACATGGCCCCAAAACCTCCCCCGTCCTTACAGTGTCCTTTCTGGCCCACCCAGAGCCCTAAAGCAGGGGCCTGCCCTGAGCCACCATTTCATTTTAGACTTTCAAAGCCATCCCAGCTCAGTCACCACCACAAAGCTCTCAATTCCGGGATGTCTCTGACCTGCCAATGACATCCCACCCCCCTGCAGGGATGTCCCGCTCCACCGGCTAACAGGGATAACAGGGACAGCCCCAGGTCCCGGCCCCCCTCTTTGGCTGCCAGAAGCACCCCCACTCCCAGAGTGGGGTTGAGCTCAGGGAGGGCAGGGCTGGCAGCGGGTGATGTGCTGACAGCTCAGCGGGGTGATGAATGGCCCAGGTGCCGCAGCCGGGCCCCGAGAACCGGCTGCCTCATCCCAACCTGTAATTTCCAAGGCGGTGTTTCCAACCCGTGCCCCACAAGTGATGGGAAGAGGGGGCAGGAATGGGGGCAGAGCCGAGCAAACCAGATGGCTCTGTCGTTGAGTGCAGCTGCACCAGGAGAGGTCGGAGCCTGAATGAGTCGGGCAGAGTCCCCACTAATTAACGCTGACACGCAAAGTTCGGATCTGTCCACTGCTGAGGAATAAATCAATCCCCCAGAAAAGGATATGGGCAACAAGAGATAGCTGAGTTTGTTCTCCTGCATCCCAGAGGGCAAGTAATTATCTCCATAACTTTCCATAAATAACTTCCACAGCTACCTTACACTTTCATGTGTCAAAAACTAATTATGCTCAGGAGCAAAACAGCACAGGACGGCAAGAAACCAAGCGAAGGGCTTGTTGAAGCCCGTGGTGCCATCCAGTTCCTCTGCTTCTACCTCCCACTGCGCTCACAGTGCTGGTCCTAGTGGAATTCCAGCCAGGGAATGGGGGTAATCTGCTTCAGTTTCAATCAATATGGGGAAAAGGACTGGGGTCTGAGTCCTGAGGTGCCCAGTGCTGTCTCCTCACCCTGTAATCATTTAGAAGACCCTTTTTAGCTGAGTGGCCTGAGAGTGGTGGTGGTGACACGTGGCACTTCACACCCTCCTGTGTCTCCCATCCCAGGAGGGAATCCTGTGTTATGGACCCTGCAGGGAGCCTCTACTCCCTTCCACCTTCCCCCTCCACTTTCCTCCTCTGCAATCACATTCTCTCTCCTCTTTCCCAGGACCACAGTCCCCCATGGGATGCCGTGGTGGGACCCACAGGTCACCTGGCAAGGGTGGGAGTCACCCCCTGCAGCAGCAGCTGTGGGAGAGCATCGACTGCAGCGCTGGCTAAACGGAGAGCAAACCCACAGAAGGGATGCTGAACCATCCCCTGTCTCAGTTCACCAACAGAAACACCCACACAGTCCTGCTAGCACTTTTTGGGGTGCTGAGGCCCTGGCACAGGTTGCCCAGAGAAGCTATGGCTGCCCCTGGATCCCTGGAAGTGTCCAAGGCCAGGCTGGACAGGGCTTGGAGTAACCTGGGCTAGTGGAAGGTGTCCCTGCCCGTGACAGGGGGTGGGACTGGATGGGCTTCCAACCCAAACCATTCCAGGATTCTATGAAATCTTCATGTCTGCACCCAGTCATGCCAGTCACCCAGAGCCTTTTGCAGCACAGTACCTTCTTTTGCCAAAGGGGTTCAAATATTTTAGGATAAAGGGAAAACAAACCCCACAACTTTTCCAGCCCCCGAAACAGCCACCTTACGTGTGAGTGCTAAAAATAACCCTGTCTCCCTGCTTTCAGCTGCTAATTAGCAAATGCCATCCCCTGGCCTCGTAATTTAAGGGAGGCACATGATGGAGGGTCAGTCCGAGCTGGTTTTCCAGGCTGGCACATAGGGTGACATTCCACGAGCACATAACTCAGCGGTTAAATAATTGGGAGGGCTCCCCTTTGCTTTAGAAGAGGATGTGCCCCAGGATTGAATTCCCAGGGGATAATTGACACAGCTGCAGCTCTTCAGCAGGGAGGTGGGGAGAAGGGAAGCCTTGTATTTTTAGTGAAACTAAGGGCTATTTTTTTTTTTATTCCTATAATTGATGGGAAAGGAGGAGGAGGAAAATTGTGCACAGTTATGAGAACTGGAAAGAGTTTTGGGGCTTTTTTCATTGAATTATTTACATCTGACAAAGAAGGGCCACTATAAACTAGCGTAGCACAGACCTTTTCCATATTATATAGAGCTGTTAAAGGGAAATGTTTAAATATTATCTAATTTCCAATAAAAACTGGACAAAATCAATGCAGCCTCGGGACAAGTTTATATTTCACTGGGCAGCAGTTTTCAAAGAAGAGCTGAGCAGCAGCAGCCCAAACGTCTCTGCTCATGCAATTGCACCTGCAGAAGTATTTTTAGGGGAGGTACAAAGTGTGACTCCCCTCTCCCCAGGCACAGGGACGTGTGTCCTGGCAGTCCTTCATCCCATGGCCTGACCCAGCCACATAACTGGGCAGTGCTGTCACATGGAGCTGGAAATATAAACGTGGGGACGAGTCAGGGGCAGGTTGGCTGTTTGCAAGGTGGCACCTGGCTCAGAGAGAGGAAACTGGACCTCACACCCAGGCAGGGATGGTGATCCAGGGAGGATGAGCGAGCATCACCCAGGAGAGGCACCCTCACACCCCTCCCAGGTAGGCTTGGGCAGTGATGGCTCATCTTGTGGCGTGGTGGCATTGCCACCTGCCTGGACACCTCTCAGTCCCACAACCACAGGGTGCCAAGGGGACACAGCCATTGCAAGGACCCCATCTGAATTATGGGGGGCAGGGGGTTATTAAGAAGGGGTACAAGCTTTAGGTTGAGGAGGCAGTGCCACAGGCTGCCAGCCTCAGGCTCCTGCACCATGCTGGAAATTTCACTGGAAAAATCATACTGATGCCATTCCCCACTGCCAGAGGGCAGCTGTAAATGGAGGCAGGGATGCCAGGAGCTGTGCCCACCGGCACACCTGCATTCACCGCGTGGTTTAAGGCAGCCTCGTGGGTTTTTGGAATCAGCAGGGTCAGTTACTACAGGCTGAGATCTTCCTGGAGCAAGGACTAAGTGCAGTGGCAGTTGAGCCTGGGGAACAAGCTGGTGCTGAAGCCGTTTTGCTGCTGTGTATCGTGCTCTTGCATGTGCCAGGAGTGAGCTTTCCTTGTAATGTGAAGCCAGCGCAGACAATTTAAGTCATTATTAATAGATACACTTGATCTGAGGAAGGGAAATGCTTAATGTTTTGTTAAATGAGGTGTGCTCTGCAAACAGTGGAATGCAGGGAGAAGGTTCAGATGCTCCCCCCACATTAGAGATTAATGAGTGCAAGGCCACCACTAACAAAGTGCTCATCCTCACACATATCTGGGGCTCTGGGCTGTGCAGGAGCATCCCTTCTGAAGGAAAGACACAGCAGGATGATCCCAGGCTTAATTTGTTGCAGGGAAATGTTTAAATATTAAACATTTAATATCCTTTGACCCTCGGGATTGCTGGAAGCACAGGTGATGTGCCCAAGGCTGTGCAGCTCACCAGTGGCAGGGGAAAGGCTTGAGCCTTTCTCCACCACCCAAAATCGCTGCCTAAAGGCAACGAGTAGTTTATAAGCAGTTGAAACCCCTCCATTTTTTTTCTAAACCACACCAGGGACCTTCTCCCCCAACTCCTGGCCAGCCCCAGGATGCCCCACAGTGTCCTGGGTGCCATCTCCTCTCTGCAGTAAATCACAGCTGCCTGTGCAGACATATTCCCCTTAAATCCACAGCAATATTGCTTCATCCTGACATCACTCTCCACTCCTGGGTGGAAACAGCACTTGGCTCAGCTGGCAGGAGCCCAGGCTCGTGAGGGTTTATGTGCCACTCAGCTCCAAGGGGACTTTTCCTCTCTACTCTTGCTGGCCCCGACTATTTTTAACCCCCTCCCTCAGCAACGCTGTTAATCCTGTCGTTACCCCGACCCAGGATGTGAGTGATATGTGTAAATCGATGCTGATTAAAGGGCTGGTGAGAAGGGCCACAGGGTGTTTCAGCACACTCTCAACGGCAGTTTAATGCCAGACACGCACATACACACTTACCTAGCAAAATTAGCCCGGGTTTGACCGAGAAGGTCTGGGCTCCCTGCTAAATATAGCCAGGGAGGCGATCCCTGCCATGGGAGGGTGATCCTTTGGCATGAACAGGACATATGAAGGCAAGATTCCTCTTCATCACCTTGAAAATATTATAGGGTTGTTAGTCAGAGGAGAGGAAAAGCAAGGTAGGGCTGTGGAAACACAACCCAGGACAAGTTCCTGAGGAAAACGATCCCTGTCTGTGCCGCTCCCTGGGTCTCCAAACCTCCTACGCCAGCTGAAGGACCCCGGGGATAAAACATCCCAGAGGATGTCTTTCATACCAGAGCAATGACTCGAGGAGGTGGCTTAGCTAATACCAGAAGGGGGAATGGGCACAGAAAGGCTGGGTGTAGTAGAATAGCAACAAGTGTTACAGGCAGAGCGAGAAATGAGGGAGTTTGAAGGCTATAAACCGACTGAGCTGTTGTGGACAGCCAGGTGGGAATGCCAGCCTTGAGATCAAGGGGAAGAGAGGAAAAAATAGGGAAGACCACTTAGGCTGATCTCAAATTAGCTCCCAATGCTGCTTCCTGTGAATAGGGACCTCAAGGCAGGGGGTTGTTCACCAAGAATCCCCAGTCAGACCCCTCTGGCTCAGCACAACCCCGTCCTGGATGGACACACTGTGGCGGTTTTGTGGCTCCACACTCTTCCCACAGTCTCCAGAGCTGGAGATGAATATCACCACAGCCATGCCGGGGAAACCCCGAGAGAAACCTCAGGTGGCTCTGGCAGCACGGGTATGCTGGCCTGGAGTTGGCACAGAGATGCTCAGGATCACCACCAGCAAGGTCCCAAACATTTCTTCCAGCCTCAGGCTGACTCCATATGGAGGGAACCACACAGCATTCTAGCAGTCCCTCCACCTCTGGTTTAATGTCTTCCCAAAATCTGCTTGGACCAGGTTTACTCTGCAGAGAGGTGGGTGGGAAGGCTGGGAAGGGGAGGTTGTGTCATCCAGAGCCTCCAAGTCACGAGATGCCAAGCTCTATTCTTGTCCCCACCATGGATTTCTCCTGTGACCTTGAGGGAAGGAGCCACAAGCTGCAGGGCAGCAGGAGCTAGGAATGCTCTGCTGGCATCAAATGGCAGGAGAGTCTGGATGCTTTCCCTCTCCTATACACAAGGCACTGTCTGGGAGAGCAGATTCCCCTACCAAAGCCCCAGGAGGATTTGTACCTCACTGGTCTTTACATCCCTGCAGTGACGCCCCAGAATTCCAGGCTGGGCCAGTAACACGTTGCTCAGATTTTTCCATATAGCAACCCCAAGACTGGAAAAGCATACGAGAACCTTAAAGAAAAAAAAATAGAGTATTAGGCAGAGAAAAAAACACTTCCCAGAGGTCAGAGGACACAAATAAGGTTATATGGGGAGGGGCAGACAGCAGTTGACTCAATTTCTTTGTTTTTTTACTTCCCTAAACACCAGGCACCGTTTTCCCTCATCCTGCAAATAAACCAGCAATTTAATCCAAGAGGTGCTGCTGCAGCAGGGCCTGGTGACCGTCTGACCCTCATTGTACCCCCTACCTATCAGCATCCCACCCTGCTGGAGTTATAAATATGACACAATAGAGCCTTAAGTGGATTATAATTAGACAATGAGCCCAGGGGGACAGAAACAATGAACTATATAAGCCTGTCTATCCTCCCAGCCAGGACCTGCACACACGGGAAACACTGGAATGGGCGACTCACCAGGACCTGCAATAGGAAAGCTGCGGATTTCCTCCCAGTTGGATTCAGAGCATCCTTTAACAGCTCATGTTCCTGTCACCAGGTTTTACACAGCCCTGGTCACGGGAGACTTGAGGAGCCTCGAGGTCCTGACTGACCGATACCATCAAGATGTCAACCTGGTTTTTGAGATCAGTAAAAATGAGCTGGAGTGGCAGGTGAAAAGCCAAGCGTCTTATGGACTCTCAGGTACTTTTCCTTTAAAGGCCAGGCCAGAAAAAACTTTAAAATGGGTATTTACTAACCCTAAATAGAAGAGCTATGGCACATTTAAGTGCCTTAAGTGTTCCTGAGGTGGCTGGTTTCTGGTTAGCTGGCTGTGCCTGCAATTTTAACCATAACTATTCATAATTTTTAATATTTCCTTCTCTTCCGCATATACTAACCCACCAGAGGGGCAGGGAAGTGTAAAATCTGTGCATCCACGTGATTTTTTCAGGTTGGGATTAGACACTCTGTGGCTTGGGAAGGTTTACAAGAGGGGTCACAGCCCAAATTCCTCATGGAGGGGCTCAGGAAGAGCAGCCTGGTCCTATGGGGGAGGAATAAGAGAATAAGATATTCCCAGGTTAGTGGTACCTGGTGCCTTCCCCACTGAGATGCTGCTCAAAGTCCCAGGTGCTCCCAGAGCACCATAGCACCATGCTCAGTAGATTACTGATGGTCTCAGAGGTCCTGGAACTGATGGGAAATGCAACACCTCACTCTAGCTGTGCCCAAACCCAACACATCCCATGCCCAGCCCTGCATCACCCTCCCACCATGCTCCCACCCGGCTTGGGTGCCTTCATTCCCAGCAAAGACAGCTTTTCTCTCCCTAGGGAATCGGTGAGCTGCCTTTTAGGCACACAGAGTGTCTCAGGCAGCTGGTTGCAGTCAGGGTGTTGGCTTACCCAGCCCGTGCCCTATGAAATCCTGCTCCTGGACATGCACACACCCAGGGAATTTTGCTTCCCCTCGATCCGAGCAGTCCCCCGGGTGTAGCGAGGCCCTCTGGAGCGCCCAAAGCTGCCCGGGAGCAGAGGGAACAGCGGGCAGAGCAGGGTGTGGAGCTGGCCCAGCCGCAGGGCTGGAGGGCAGGGGGTGGCAGCCCGCGATGACCCCGGTTGGTGCCCCCGCAGGGCTGTGGGCGCTGGAGTGGCGCTGGGAGCGGAGCACCCCGCTGTGCCTGGCCGCCCACCACGGCCACCCTGCCGCCCTGCGACACCTGCTCTGCCGCCGCGCCCACCCAGACCTGGCCCCGGGCGCGCAGGGACCCCTGCACGAGGCCTGCCGGGGGGCGCACACCGACTGCGTGGAGCTGCTGCTGGAGTACCAGGCGGACCCCAACCTGCGGAGCGAGGAGGGGCTGACCCCGCTGCACCTCTGCACCACCCGGGACTCGCTGGGGTAAGGAGCGGGGCTCCCATCAGCACCCCTCGCTGATGCCGTGCCTGGAAATCCTCAAGGCCAGGTTGGACGGGGCTTGGAGCAACCTGGGCTAGTGGAAGGTGTCCCTGCCCATGGTGGGGGGTGCGACTGGATGAGCTTTAAGGTCCCTTCCAACCCAAAATCACTCTGAGACTCCATTCACATACCCCAGTGGTGTTGCCCATGGGGTGAAAGAAAGATGCTATGATCCATGGCAAGGCTTCCCACATGCTCCCACATGTTCCAGCTGCATCAGGAGAGACAAAAAAAGGACATTTTAGTGCCAGGCTTGTTGTACAGCCCAAGTCTCCTTCCCATGGACAGGAGCAACCCAGCCTCACATGCCTTTTCTCCCTGCTCTGACCTATATGTCCTGCAATCAGTGTGTTCCACATCCCAGGTCCAGCACACTCTCCCCAGGAGATGCTCAGGATGGTTCCAGTCATGGGGCACACATCATCCCAACCTCCTGTGCTTTTCCTTTTTTTTTTTTTTATAAAGAGCTCAGTCACTTGATGTCCTGTTGGAACTGCTTAGGGCCATGGTGAATTCCATCACCTGTCAGCTTCCATGGAAAGCCATCCTGGCTTCAGTCCTCTTCCTTCAATCCTTCAGTCCTTCAGGCAACAGATGGTGAAAGCAAAGTTCCCACTGCAGATCCAACACATCATGGACCAGGTCACAGGGAAAGTGCTCTGAAGAAGGAAAGCAGACAGAGAGGGAAAGATCTGCAGATTTGCAGATGTAAATATCTTGATACCATCTTGTAAATAAGAGTCTCTGCAAGATGGCCAAAAATCAAGTACTAATCAAGTTTTGATTCAGCCAAAAATTTAGGGGTGAATCAAACACATCCTTGGTGTGATGAGGGTTGGAAGAAGCAGGATAGATAAGGGAGGATGCTACAAGAAGCCCTCATTGTTAATGAAGAGCTGCTTTAAGTCCTTCACCTGAGCTCCCTTTAGACCTTAAAGTTTCAGTCTCCAGACTCCAAGCCATCATAAATTCCCTGTGATTCCATGATTTTAGGCTTCACCAGTCTGCTCTCCCCCCGCAGGGATGGGGCAACCAAACCAACTGGTGTGTGGAGAGGACCCCAGCGCCCACAGAGGTCCAGTTATCCTGGTTTTGGCCAGCTGATTCCAACTTTGGAAAAAAAAATCTGTACCTCTATAAAAAATGAGCCGTTGCCACCAATTTGCATGTTCTGTTCCCCTGGAAGCTGGAGGGGGATGGCAGGTGAGGCAGCACATGGCAACACGGGGATCAGACAGAGCCAACGTGGAAACAGCTGAGTTATAAAGCCCTTGAATATTGGGGCTTTATAATGGAAATGCTGAGAGACCCTTAACTACGCCCGGCGCTACAGGGGCTTCTGCAATAACTAAGCCAACTCCCTTGAAAGATCAAAAATTAATAGACATTTCAGACAGGTTTTGAGGTTTCGACCACTGCTTTTCAGTCGCAAAGACTTTGCTAAAGTTAGAGACTGAGGAGGTCAAGCTTTAGGTAACACAAACATTTCCTCTTTGATTAGGGGGAGACTACTTTACCTCGCCTTCTTTTTTTTTATTTTATTATTTTTTTCGTTGAGTAGTAGATTTTAGGTCATCCTTAATTTTTTACTGGCAATAAAGAGCAGGTCATTGACCTACATAGAGAGCTATTTTATTTTTCTCCCTCTCGATAACAATGGCCAGAACACCTATGTGCCAGGTTCTTCTGTATTCCCATATACTCGGCAATTCACCATGGGGGCAGGACTTAAAACCTTTGAGCCTCTCAGTGACTGGGATAAAAAAAATTATCTGGGCTTCCTTCCAGCCATTTGAGCTTCAGAATCCATGAGATTTCAACAAAAAGGATATCAGAGCTTTAATCTAGGAGCTTTTTGAAGAGATGGAAAAAAAAGTTCCAGTAAAGTTCAGTCTTACCTTCTTCACTTTAGGAGCTGTTCATGCCAACGTCGGCCTATTTAGTAGAGTTCCTCTCCTTGACCTCTTTTTTACAGCCGAGATAATTAACATGGTGGGGTAAGATGAGTCTCTAAATTCACTGCACTCTCTCCCCGGCGCTCTCCCTTTTCCCTCTTAAAGCTGGGATGATTAAAGGAGTCTGCCTTTATTGGCACCCCGAAAAAAAATAAAATAAAAATAATTGAGGGGGAGAGGAAGAGTCTCGGCGGTGCCAGGGAGGGAAGAGCAGGCGTGGGGTGGTGGGAAGGCACGTGGCAGGGATGCAGGATGTGACTCCCACCTCCCATCACGGTGCCCACTGAGGAAGGGATGCCAGACACCACCACATCTGTGGAGTCCTGTTTCAGATCTGGGAGTCTCCCTGAACATCCCAGGTTTCCTGTGAGACAAGGGAGAGCCTACCTGGAGAGAAACCCAGCCTTCCACAGAGGGAAGAGAGCTCAGTCAAGCCAAGGGATGGGAAAAGATGTCACCCCTACCTCCAGGCAACCCCGGGCTTAGGGCTGAGCATTCACTTCTTCAAGCTTTCACTCCACCCTGGGAGCTGAAACCAGAGTGATCTTCCTGCTCCGAGCCTCCAGCGCTGAGGGATGGGGCATAAATGGTGGGATGAGTCCAGGCGGGAGGCCAGTCCAAGGGGCTCTATGCAAGGATTGATGGGGTAGGGAGCGAAGAGCTGCCAGAGACAGGGTGGGGTTTGCTTAGGGGGAGTGTTGGATGAGGGAAGCTCATCATGGGAGGAACTGGCAGCAAACGGGAGCCAAGCAGGAAAGCAGGTACCTAAAAAGGCAACATGGTCAAGATAAGGCTCCCAGACACCAGGGAGATGGGTACAGACTGGGTGGACCAGCTCCGTGGCACCCTCCAGCTATTTCAGCACCATCCTAGACACACTGTTCCTTCTGGCTGCAGGAAATAAGCATTACTACAAATAAAAAAAAAAAAAAACAGAGATTTGAAAAATCAGCATTTAGCATCATCTACAGCTAAACCTCGTCCTCTGCTCTGTTCAGCCTTGCTAAAGATAAAACTAGGAGCATTTGGAGCCATTGTTTTGGGAAATCATCCTCCCACTGGGGAAAACCAGCTCCTTCCTGGGTCCTGAGCAAGAAATAAGGAGCCCAAAAGCAGGGGCAGGGCTGATCCTGCTCCCTGCAGGTGTGACAACACGAGGGTTCTTACAGACGAGCCTTGCTCCGACCCCAGGGAGAGGGGGAAAAACAAACTGGAGGCTTTTCCTTAAGAAAACTGGGCACCTGAGTGGGTTTTTGGGACAGGAATTTTCCTTCAGGCTCCGCTGCCCCAACCTCCTGCTCCTCCTGCTGGTCATTCGTAGCATCCCATTTAAAGCTAAATCCCACTTTCACAGCCTGGGTATTTTTCATCTCCACCTGAGCTACAGGCAGGAGCTCTATGGATGGGTGGAGAAGGAAAATCAAACCCAAATAATTTTCTCCCATTTATTTGAGCCAGGAGCTCAGCACAAAGCAAACCAACGCCAGTCACCACGAGTGACTTGCCCAAGAAAAGAGACATTCAGATCTGTTACCCATCACCTGCAAATGAGTTGGGAAGGGTTTGGAAGTGAGTTTAAGTTAGTAAAAATTAGGTACCAGGCTGGATGGAAAACAAGCTTGGTTGCTTTGCCACTGTGCCTCTGAACTTCTGCTGAGCTAAACCTAAAACCAGACTAAGTATATTCTTTCAGTATTCTCAGAAAATTGGAGAGGAGCCCTTAAAAAAGCAGCAAGACATCACTAGGCCTTATCTAAAGGGATTTTAGTCTACTCTGATGGCAAAAAAAAACCAAAGAAGTCAGAAATGCTGGTGAAGTGTTAGAGCATCTGAATTCATGCAGAGGGATTTTAAAGGTTAAAAAGAGCATCCACCCAGAACCTGCTCATGCCCTGACATCCAAGCAGGAGGCACCCTTTCCATCCACCAGAAGAGATCACCTCATATTTATAGTTCCTTACAAACATTCCCTCTTTGCCTAGGGAGGAGCATCCAGGGGGAAAATTCAAAATATAAACTGATTTGGGTTTCTTCCGACAAGTTGGACTTTGAACTTGATAACCAAAAAGAATAACCCCTCAGTTAAGCAGCACCTGGAAAGGATGGCATTTCCACAGAAGAACATTTGGCATGTCTAGCAGGAGGTCAAGAGGAATCAATCTCCCTGTATTGAATTCTCTGCAAGGGAAAACCCCACGGCACAGGGAGAGTGCTGGGCTGGAGGGTCTGGATACAGCTCCTGGCTTTACCAATCCACGTTGTACCACCCTTCACCTGGAAATTAAGGGCAGGAGAATATTCCGCTGTCTTACTCATGCAGGTGGAAATCTTCAGCCTGGGCACCCTCCAAAACCAGGGTGATGCTTATGCTCTGGGCACAGCCACCTCCTTGCCTGGGAAGGAGCAGGGTGTTTAAAGTATGAGCTACTAAAAAAACATAGAACAAAAGGGGATTTTTCTCATGCACCTGCCAGCTGCATTTTTGCAGCCAAGTCAGAAATGTATTTTTTTTCCATTTTTCCCTGCAGAACTATCCCTTATTTTTCCCTTGAATACATTATTTTTATTAGGTGCCATTATTAGGGTGCCAGAGCTACCTGTGACGTTAGGATTAAGCTAATCTGGAGAGGTCCCAGGAGAATCATTATAATTAGGGCTACAAATTCCCTGCTGACAAGGACGGACAAGACCAGTAAATGTGATGGAGTGACTGAGTGATATGTTCTAATAACAGATCCCCACTGACAAAGTTGTACCCAGCAGCAGCAGACAGCAAGCTCCCAAAAAACCCTCAGTGAGACAAGCCATTGCTTAAGAAAGGGATTCAACCTCCTGTAGAGTAAAAAGGGAATTGTAAAGTAAGGATCTGGTGATTTTGGGGCTGGCACAACCCCACCTTGATCAGCTCACCCACAACCACATCCCCAGCAGAGCCCATCCACAGTGGATGCCTCTGGTGAGGACCAACGAGGGCTGGCACATCTGGGAGCATTACACCTGCCCAGGCTGCAGGAGCAACCTGGCCCCACAGATCCTGCAGAAATTATTTTCCTGGCAAACTCAGGCTTGATAAGCACAAGAAAAGGAGCCCAAGGAGGTATTTGTAGACCCTGCACTGACAAGGACAGTGGATGTCTCACCAGCTCCCATCAAATCATGGGGGAGGTGATGCTGCAGGTCCACAAAGAGTCAAATGTATTATTATTATTATTGTATCATTATTTTATTATTGTCATTGTCCCCACATATGGTAGCATTCATCTGTGCCAGGAAAAACAAACAATATCCTGGCACCGTCCTTCCTCCCTGGGGCTCCTCTTCTTTCCCATCCCTGCTACTGGAAGTATCAAGCTGGAACTTCCCTCCCCCCTCAACTCCCCATCCTTTTGCTTCTGTGTCAGCCCAGAACTTCACTCAGGGCTCTGGTGACACCTGGGCTAAAAGAAAAGCTTATTAGAGGAAAATTAAAGAGACAGGGAGGGTTTAAAGGCTTGTGCTCCTCCCTAGACTCTAGCCAGCCACTGCTGAGGCTTCCCAAAGGATGGCTCTCCTCACCTCCCTGGCAGCATCTCTCGGGAAACAAGAGCTCGCACGTATTCAAGGTCCAGCTTAGCTGGCACGTGAGTCTGCCCCCTCCAAAAATCCCCTCTCTGTGCCACAGCAACGAGCTCAGCGCCGCGCGAGTGACCCCGGCTGCCGACAGCCCTGCCCGGGCGGTGACATTGAGCCGCGCCGGCCCCGGCGGCTCCCGGCAGGAGAGGGAGCAGTCACTTTGATTCATTCAGACTGCCCGATCACATCCGTTTACTCACACACACACCGAAAAAAATAAAATAACCCCCCATCAGGGCATACCAGCTGTCTGTAACCCCCATCCACTGTCAGAAGGATGCAGGCAGAAGGCTCTGATGAGAACTGGTGTCCCCACTTTGCAGCAGCCATGACCCCTCTTTGCACCCAGGCATGGTGATGTTAGAGGGGGGATTGCTTGCCTTGATTTAGTCCTCCTGGGAACTGCAGGTGCTGCTGCTCCTTCATCACTGCGCGTGCCAAACAAGCCACCAAAACTCATTTCTGCAGAGTTAAACCATGTGCAAAGGTGTTTCTTTTCAGGGTAGGCTGAAAACCAGGACCAGGACTTCAACTCCATGATCCTTGTGGGTCCCTTCCAACTCAGGATAGTCTATGTTTCTGTGAAACACAACCCTGCAGTCCTCTCTGGGGCAGGAGCCCAACACAAGTGTTTGGGTCCATTAAAGGGAGACGGAGAATCCATTTTTATACCCAAGCAAGTGGGCCTAGGAGGGTGGGACCCTGGTGGGTCAGGGGGGTCAAGGTGGTCAAGAATGGTCAAGGTGGTCAAAGATGGTCAAAGTGGTCAAGGATAGTCAATCTGGTCAAGGTGGCCAAGGACAGTCAAGGTGGTCAAGGATGACCATTCACGAATAATGCTGGTCAAGGGCAAGAGGGACACATTGTCCAAACCACAGTTGCCCCCACTGTGGAGGGCACCAGGACACAGTGTCACCCTCCCCAGCCTCTGCTGCTCCCTCCCAAAACCCTTGAGTGCCACAACGCCAGCTCTGGCACGGCCTCCACCCTCACCCACACCGTTTCCCCTGTCACCCCTCATGGTTCCCACTCCAGCCCACCCTGGCGGTGCCCCCTCAGCCTCCCCCCTCCGTGCAGGTGTGCCAGGCTGCTGCTGAGACACGGGGCCGCCGTGGACCTGCCAAGCACGGCGTGTGGGGAGACGGCTCTGCACGTGGCCGCCCGGCACGGCCTCAGCGACCACACGCGGCTCTACCTGCGGCGCGGGGCCCGCGTGGATGCGCGCAGCGCACGGGGGGAGACGGCCCTGGGCATCCTCTGCGCCACGGCTCCCGGGGCCGGCCAGGATCGCCTGGAGCTGTGCCAGCTGCTGGTGGCCCACGGCGCCCAGGTGGACGTGCGGGACGAGGCGCGGAGGAGCCCCCTGCACGAGGCGTGTGGGGCGGCCCACGCCAGCCTGGCGCGGTTCCTGCTGCTGCGCGGGGCCGACGTCAACGCCATCGACTATGATGGCCTGAGCCCGCTGGGCCTCGCCCTGCAGAGCGCGGCCTCCAGGGCCCAGCGGCGGCCACACCTCACCATCCAGCTGCTGCTCAACCATGGCTCCCAGAGGATATGGCCCCCTGCCTTCGTCAAGGTACCGGCCCCAAAATGGCCCCCGGGTGTGTGGGATTTCCCTGTTGGGGTCGGGGTGCTTTGGGAAATAAAAGGATGGGGTGTGGGAGGATTTGGGAGGGCCTCCCACTCCAGGCAGGGGAGTGGGCAGTGGCGCGGGGGCTGGTGGTGCTGCTGGGAATGATGGAAGTGAAACCTCAGCATGGTGTGGCAGCGGGTGGAGCAGGCAGGGCAAAGGGCAGGGTGGAGCCAGCAGGGCTCTCAGGGGTCGGCAAGGACGATGTTTTCCTGCCTGGGGAATATCAGAGACAGGCTTGGTAGATCAGCTGCCTGTGCAGCCGCTTCATGGCTCTGCATTCCATCGATCTTACATCAAACAATAAAGAAAATATTATCCTGGCTTGTCACGCACCAGCCAAAAATGCAAACAAGAAGCAAGGGCTGCATCCAGAGGAACAAGTGCCTCAGCAAAGCAGGTCTTCCCACCACTTCACAAATGGGGAAAGATCTCCAAAATGTGCCAGGAGAAACCCTAATGCCACCTCATCCTGACATGGTGAATGTTCTCCCCTCTGGGACCTGCCTCTCTGTGTGACCCTCCCTTTGCCCATGGGTAGGTGCTGAGGTCCTGTGCGGCCGTGCCAGAGGTCATCGAAGTCCTCTTCAATTCCTACTCACAAATCCCTGTCTCCCAGGAGTGGGCCGAGGCCGTGCCAGAGGAGGTGTTCCAGGTGAGACAGTGCTGGGCTTTGGTGGGGATGGCTGAGGCCCAAGGAGGGGGGTTACCCACAAGGAGGGGATTTTTTCCCCACCCAAACTTCACTTGGATGGGGAAAAAAAAGATTGGAATAGTCCCCAGAGCACCATGGCACACCTGATTCATCCAGGTTCGCATCCCTTTAGCTCCATCGACATCAAAACCTGCATCAATCCCTGCCCAGCCTGCAATAAAATCCACTCCCAGCATATGGAAGTGACCCTGGAGCCAGAGCACTGCCCAGCAGGAGCCCACAAGACTCATTTTGATTTGAAAAAGCTCATTCCTGGACAAGCAACAGCCTGGGGTGCCAGCCCACTCTGGCACCATCCATGATGGTTTCCCCGTCTGAGAAACAGGGTCTCTTCTGCAAGGTCTCTTCTCATCCATTCCCGCCGGGATGATGCTGCCAGTGACCATGAGGGCACCCTCCCCACGAGGCCAGCTTTCTCCACGTGCTTCCACAGGGGAATTCCTCACCCAGCCCTTGCTTGCGGGGCCGTGTCAGTGCATGGACCCCTTAACGCCCAGGCACACGTGGGTTCCTTACCTCCTTCCCTTCAGTCTTCATCCTAGAATATCTTCAGCTTGCTTGGTAATCAGGAAAAAACTAAAGTGCTGCCCCTGTTCCCCCTCTCTTTGCAGCAGCACCAGCCATTCTACAAATCCCTGTTCCAGCTGGCGGGTGCCGTGCGGTGCCTGCAGCACTTGTGCCGCTCCGTCATCCGGGAGAACCTCGGCAGCAGGTGCCACAGCCTCATCCCTCTGCTGCCTGTGCCCAAGGCTCTGCGGGAATACCTGCTGCTGGAGCCCGAAGGAGTCGTGCTCTGAAGGAGCAGATCCACATCCAAGTGCAGCCCTGCCTTCCCCGCACGGAGCGGGGCAGCCTCCGTTCCTGTCAGCCGAGCCAGGGAGCACCGCTTCCCATGATAGATGGCTGTTTTCCAGGGATTTATAATGTAACTAAAATGTGCTTTCGCCTGTAACTTTGTATAGATTTTTTTTCTCTAATTGTGCTTTAAATAGATTATAAAGAGTAATAAAATGATTAGTAGCTGTTGGGAGCCAGCTGCAGATATGAATAATGCTCATTATAGAGGATCCCTGCAAAGCAGGGGGGCTGCTCAGGTGTGCAAAGGCAAGCAGGTCACTCCCATCAGCCCACATGGGCATCAAATCCCCTTGGATAAACCTCGCACAAGCAGCACTGGCAACAGAGGTGCAGCATGGAAGCCCTTAGCAGGATGCAATATCCAGGGGCATTAATATAGACCTTAAAATAGACCAAAAAATAATATATTTTTATGTAGAAGGCACGAAGAAAGTGCTGGTATTCCACACTGGAGGGAGTGACACAGCTCCCTGTATCTCCTGGCTTCCAACACTCCATAGAATGCACCAACACCTGCCATACCCACCATGCCTATCACTGTTCCCAGGCTGGCACATGAAAGGGTTGGAAAACCCAGTGGCAGGAGTTTGGGCTTTCATTTCCCACAGCGACTCAGCCAAAGGCACCAGGAGGAGCGAGGATTTGTTTTTCCCAGACCCTCGGCCTCCCCAGATTAATTCCTGCTGAACCAAAGCATGTGCACCTGTGTGTCCCTTGGAAGAACAGCTGTGCTCATGCCAGCAGCTCTGCCACAGCACTCACCAAATCCTTCCACTGCTTAATTACACTCGTTTGGGTTTTTTTTAATATATATAAATACCTCATTTTGCATGTTTGGCTGGACTGTGCAGCATCACCTAGTGCTATCGTGGCTTGTGGATGGGATGCAGGTAGCATCCCTGGCTCCCAGAGCTGCTGCCTGTGGAGTGTGGAAATGGGGAGGAAAAAGAAATTCCTCCCTCCTCCAGCTTCCACCTGCTGCTTCCACATCATCCCTCACCATGTCAGTTGTATATGGATGGGCAACTGCACTGCCAAGCCCACCCCGTGTTCCCAGTCTTTGGTGCCCTGCCGTGGGAATGCCTGAGACCCCTTCAGACCTGGCACCTCGTGGCTTTAGTGGCTTTATGGTTTGTTTTGGTGGCTGGAGCAGGGGGTGGGAATTGAAGGGGATTTAGGGGAAAAACCCATCCTGGCCGAGGTTAAACCGGCCCAATCTAAATTTTGGTGCCTCTTTCATCTTTTGTGTGGTGCCCGGAGCCGGAAGAATGACACGTTTTACATCCCTATCAGGCACTTTTGCATGGAGACAGAGTCCCACCGGGCGACCACATCCTCCCCCCAGAATCCCAAATCCCACATCCCGCAGCCATGGCCTCGCTGCACAGCCGGTGAGGGGGGAAATGCACGTCCAGGGGACGAAATGGAGCGGTTCTGGGGGCCGGAGGGGCCGCGGGAGGGGGACACGCGTGGGCCGGTGCGCGGCTCCCCGCGGCCCGCAGGGGGCGCGCTGGGCACGGCCGGCGGGGGGACCCCGGGCGGGACCCCCCAAAAACACCAGGCAAAGCGGGGACGAACGGGGGGAACCTTCGGAAAACGACTTTCGGGGGCTTAGGGGGCTTCTTCCCCTCGGTTTCAGCCGTTCTGCCGGCGGCGCGGGGAGCGCGGCGGCGGGGGATGCTCCGGGCGGGGTGATGGTGATGGTGATGATGCTCCGGGTGGGATGATGCTCCGGGCTTGGGTTGATAAGTTTGGCGGGCGGGTAAAGAAGCGTTTGGCTATATATATATTTAAATATATATACACACACCAAACATATGGGGGGGTTATTTTATTTTTTTTTCCCCCCTCCTGCCGGCGCCTTGTTTTGATGCAGATGTTACGAGGAAAGGATCGTTTTTATTATTTTTATTATTATTATTATTTTCCAGCAGCTAAAGACGGGAGGTCACATTAACTTCTAATACGGAGACACATAAAAATGCGATTATGCCTGCTAAACAGAACACAGTAGGCTGCTAGTTAAGACAATGAGATTTCCAGGAAGCGATGCATAAATTCTTCAAAAAATGACACATTTTTCACGTTTCATTCCAATTAAATTACTGAGGCAGCTAACACAGCGCTTTGCACGCCATACATTTGGGGAAAATGAAGGCTTTTCTGGTTTTTTTTCTTTATTTTTCTTTCTTTTTTTTTTTTTTTTAAGTCTATCTGGATGTGCGTGTTTTATGAAAGACGTTTGATATTAAGCAGCTATTAAGGAAAAAAATGTCAGAGACCTTCTCTCCTCGAGGATTTTTTTTTTTTGTGCGTGTGTGTGTGGTGGGGCTGCTCCTGCTCGTTTTCCCACTCTGCAGCATTAAACCACCGATGGTCCAGCTGCAGAATAATTTCCAAATAATGGGAATTTCCCGCCATGATGCACACACCTCTCTGTTTGCAAGGAGCTGGGGAGAATTAAGGAGTGATGCACACCCCCCACCCCCCCAAAAAAAGGTTTTGCCGTCCCGTCGGGTGTTCTTTCCCACAGTCGGGACCCTCTGGAGCAGGATCGAGCCCGCCCCGGGGATGCTTCGAGGATGGAGAGGGGGTGGGTGAACCCAGTGGGAAGCCGGGTTTGCCTCCCACAATCTGAAAACGGGCTCCTCAGGGTGATAATCAAACCCCGAAGTGGCTCCGGTAATGAAACAGCGTTTGGGGGGTTTTTTTTTTTTTTTTTTTTTTTTTTTTTTTAAAGCAGGCTGCACTGGGTGATCCGCAAAGCAATACAAATCAGAAATGAGATTTTTGAAGTCCTAATGAACCTGATTGCAGGAACATTTATAATCCCCCATGGCTTTAAATGAAATCAGATATAATCAGGAGCTATGGGGAAAGGGAGTGTTTACAGGCAGAGATTGGGAAGTGCTGCTGTATTAGTAAAGATGCTGTTCCTTCTATTGATGTCTAAAATGATGGATAATGTGAGAATGGCAAATATACTATTTGTCTAATGGCTCTGCAATTAAATTCCCCTGTAAATGACCCATGCCTCATTTCATCCTAATCTATGGAATTTTGATTGAATTCGTCAGCTCTAATTGAAAAATACTGCACTTTAATGTCTGCAGTGCAGTTTCAGGACCGCGCTGGTTTTAATGAGACGGTGCCCCTCTGACCTGGGAATATTTTAGACTTTTATTCGGGATTTTTTTTTTTAAACTGCCGGATTTCTCAACTCGATTCCACGAAAAGCCGGGAATGAGAGTGCGTGGGGTTTGCCACCACTAATCTCTCCGTAGCCATGCGTTTGATTAAGGTCTCCTTTAAGGCTCTTAAAATATTTGGACTCCGGTTATTTAAATATGTATCCATTTAAAATAATTTTTAAAATAGCCTACTTCCCCTTATCCGAACGAATTTTGGGATATGAGCCGGGATTATGGAAGTCAAAATTTTTCTCTTTTTTTTTTCTTCCTTTTTTTTTTTTTTCTTTTTACCTGCACGGTGTTATTTTTACCCTCTTATCCTATTTTTTTTTTTTACCCGAAAATCCCGAGCGCCTTCGAGTTTGTTTAAAAAAAAAAAAAAAAGGAAGCAAGGGAAAAAGGAGGGGGGAAGGAAAGGGAAAAAAGGAGGGGAAAAGAGGAGGAGGGGGGAAAGGGGGAAAAGAGGGGGGGAAAAAAGGAGAAAAACCACATAGAAAAAAATAAACCGACAATAGGAAGCGGCACATCCCCGGTGCTGGGGGGAAGTTGCGGGAGAACCCCCAGGACGGGAACCCCTCCCCTCCGGATCCGCGACCGAGCCGCGGTGCGGGGACCCTGCGGGGGCGGGGGGGGCTGGCAAGAGTTCAAATGGGAACACGCGAAGGAGTTAATGGGATTAAGCGACGAATGAGGGTTTTGGGGATTGTTTTTTGTTTTGGTATGCCTTTTTTTCCCCCGCTTGGGAAGCAGAGGGGGAGGCGGGAGGGGGTTCCCGGCGGGCACGCGTGGGGCGGGGGTCTCACCCCGCGGCGGGCGCGCTTCCATGCGTATCCCTGTTCCCACAGCCAAGGGGCAAATCCTGCCCTCCCGCGTCTCCATCCCTCTTACTCCCAGCTCCCGCAGCCCAAAACCGCTGAAATGAATCCTCAGCCATGCACAAAACCTCATCCCCCTTCCCCGCAGCGATGACGGGGGGTAGGATGGAGAGTCCTGGCTGCAACCCTAATTCAGTGCTCACACCTAATCCCTGCATCGTTAAATATACACGGATTTTTGGGGGGTAGTTCTGCTCACGGTCTCCCCTCTTGCTTAGCTCCCTTTTCCAGGGAAGAAAAATCACTTCAAAAGCTTAGCGGGGTGAGATGATTTTGGTGACATTTCCCACGCAATTAAAATTTCCCCAGCGGATGCAAGAATTAGCTCGGCAGAGCCTTTGCAAGCCTGAGTTTTGGCTTTGATAAAGTCACTGGTATTAACATCTGCTTGAAAACAGAGCAGCCCCCCCCCATTCCTCCTCACTGACCTCGGGGACCAGCAGCAGCACAGACCTTCCTCCAAATAATGCTCCTCGCCAGCACAGCCCCCCAAAGCCCCATGGGAGGACACCATCCCATGTGGTCCATGGAAACCCCCAGCACAGCTCCCTGCCAGCAGCCTGGAGGTGCCCAAAGGGCTGGGAGCAGCCGTTGGCTCCCCAACCCAGGTGGAGGGATGCTCTGACCTCTGCCACCCTATGGATTCCCACGTGGAAGTGCTCAAGCACATCCCACTCCTCCTCTTCCTTCATGGCTCCCTTCTTTCACTTCTTCACTCCAAAAAGCTGCACCCCCTCCCCACCCCGATTTGGGGATTTATTTAGCCCACACTCTTTCCTCCCAGCCAAGAGACCACGAGAGTCACAGGCACTCCCCCAAAATCTGCCCAGTTCAAAGATTCCTCCACATATCTGCTGCTCCTCTCCTGAGAAGGTTTTTGGGACAAAACCTACTGGAAGGCACCTGCTCTTCAGCATTCCCCAATTCAGGTGACTCGGGAGCCTCCTGCAGCAGCATTTGAGTCCCACATTTCAAGCTGGGTCCATGTGGGACCCGCTCTGCACCCACACCACGGCCCAGCCAGGTTGCCCAGGGGGAAAAGGGGCTCCTCCCTCCAAAGTATTGATTTAGACTTAGACCCCTTGGGAAAGGCTCCCGGCGTGTCC